ATCATGGCGGCCGAATTATAGCCTCAATCAAGAGGCCAGTATCTACGGCTGTTGAAGGAACGTGCAGAGAAAAGCAGAGGATGAAGCAAAAGGGAGATGGCGATGGACAAGGGAAGAGACTCCAAGCCGGGGAGAGGCAGACGGACAGACAGCGCAGCAAGCAAGGGGGCCGCGCTAATCACATCGTCCTCCACTCTGGGCACATGCTAACTCTGTACGAGCAGCCCGTAGTAATTCCCGCCTGATGCTACTGTACCATGATATCTGCGTGTAAAGGATGCGTGAGGCGTTCAATCTATTTTTTTTTTTTTTTTTTTTTTTTTGGCCTCCATCGCTGGCGCGTGCCCTTGCATCTGAAGCTGCGATGCCGACTGGCTGCGGTCCGGGGTACATGCTACAAACACCTCGACACATGCACGACCTAGGGAGTTAGTTGCAGCGGCAGACGCGCATGTATGGAGTACTTGGGCCGTCGCTGCATGGTGATGTGATGGGCGGGCGACTGGCAAACATGACATGAATCAGAACCAAGACGGGAGGACGAAAGAGATGCCATGACAAAGCGGCCGGAAGGGGTCCGGGCGTTGACAAGGGGGGCAAGGGAGAAGAAGCCAAAAAAGGGTGATTTTTTTTTGTGAGTGAAATATGAGAAGATGAAGTGAAATCAAGCAAATGGGGTTGCTCGTACAGGGGGGACGCTAGTCGAGCACTTTGAGACTACGACAGTGCTGTAGTAGCACCGGGAACTTGTCTAGGTACTTTGACGACCTGAGTTGAACCCAGACGTTTGATGGCCGCCATGCAAACAACGTTGGACAAACATTTGGTGGGCTTTGGCATGCCGTGGTCCGTATCGGCAGTCCATGTCAGATGTACATGGCCGATGCCAATGCTTGTGCAAACAGAAAAAAAAAAGGAAGAAAAAAACAGATAACACATACGAGGGTCAGAGAGATTCATGTTCTCCTTTACTCCAATCGAGAGTCTACATTGGGCACAAGCATTGGCAAAAAAAAAAAAAAAAAAAAGCACCGACTGGCACTTTTACGCGCGCTCTCTTGGAAGCATTCGAGTGATAGGGAAATCAAGCCGCGCTAGTCAAAACCCCCATGCTTGCTTGAAATGCGCTTTGCAGCTCCCTGCGGCAAGGCGCCACTCCGACCTCCTGTCCGGCTGCGAGTACCACGTCGCGGAGTACCAGGTACGGTGGATTGTGTGGAGTACAGGTATCAACCGCCGGCCCTTTTTTCTCTCTCTTCTTTCTCTCTGGTGCTTCAGTTCTTTCAATCAGTCTTTCATCATATCGTACAAAGTGGCACTGCGTACGATTACAGTACTCGTACATGCCTGTCTCGGTAAGAAGATGTCTCAAGCTGTGAAATCTCTTGGCTTTCCATCCTTATCGACAATGTATCACATCATCCCCGTCGTCTTGTGTTGGGCGAGCAATAGTGCCAGCTTCAGTGTTAGTACTTCCAACTCCATACCTCAACTCAAGTGTCATGCCTCTTTCTTCCCCCGTGTTCCCTCTCGCCTTCAACTTCAATTTTGCTCCGCACCCCTTTGGTTTGCTCATTGAAGCTAAACCAGGGACCAGCCAGCAGGGGGATCCAGCAAGGCCACTTGGGCCGCTGAAGCAACCCGATCCGCCGCTCCTTGCACAAAGCCTGGACCAGTCTGGCTTCTTTTCTTTTTCGCATCAATCCAATTGAGCTGGGCACTTCAGATAGCAGCCAAGCATCATGTCCAAGTGCAAGTGCATGTACCCTCTACCGGCGCGCGTGTACCTCGGTCGCACGCTGGTGCCTGCTAGCCTCACAGCACTCCCCCCAAAAAAGGGCCCTGAACCGCTCACCACCCCCTCGATCGCCCAATCCGGGCCCGCCATTCGCCTCCACCGCGCGTTGCCTCCACCCCCTTCTGCTGCTAACGCCTAGGCACTGCTAGGGGACCATTGCTAGGGACACCGACCCTGCTGGGGGCCCTGGCCTGGCCTCCCCCAGCAGCGCAACCAGCCAATCTCTCAGGGCCGTTGGAGCTGGGCAATCCGCGTTCCTCCAGTCCTCAGAACCTGGACCTAAACCTCTCCTTCACCCTTTGCTTTTTCCCGTATTCCACCCCTCTTCCATCTTTCCATCTTCCATCTTCCATCCTTCGTCTTCCGTCTCCCATCTCCCATCTTCCTCATTCATTCCTCTCACAATCGCCCTCTGCGGCTCTTCTTCTCTGCTTTGCATTGTCTTCTGGCCAGCTCTGTTTTTAATTTTTTCTTTCCTCTACAATCCTCCAACTGCGAAGCTCTCTTAAACTGTCCTCTTCCATACTCTCCCTACCAGAGCCGCCTTTTTTTCTTGTCCCTTCATTGGCTGAGGTACACCTCCTGAAGCCAGGAAGCAGAAAAAATTACTACGCAGCTGCGGAAGCAATCCTTCTTTCCCGCTAGCATCATCAATCAGTGCCTTTACAATGGCTTCAGCAACCAAGGTACGTTTGAGCAGCCTGTCTCTCTCCGCGCGCTCTTTTTTTTTCTTTCTCTCCCCTTGTCCTCCCCCTTCTTTTTTGCCCTTTGCTTTAGCCTGTTCTGTATAGCTAACATTAGCTGCTTCGCCTGCTAGTTCCTGCGAGAGTACAAGCTCGTGGTTGTCGGCGGTGGTGGTGTCGGTAAATCTTGCTTGACCATCCAATTGATCCAGAGCCACTTCGTCGACGAGTATGATCCCACAATTGAAGGTTCGTCGCTTTCTCGCAGCAGCTCAATGCTACCCCCTTTCCCGGGCTTCGCGGCTCGCGAATGCCTTCTCCCCATCCGCCATCTGTCTACCTGGCCCTTGATCTGGCTCGAGTACCCGAGGCCTTGGCTAATTCGTCGACAACGACAACAGACTCATACCGAAAGCAGTGCGTCATTGATGACGAGGTCGCCCTGCTCGATGTTCTAGACACGGCCGGCCAGGAGGAGTACAGTGCCATGCGAGAGCAGTACATGCGCACGGGCGAGGGTTTCTTGCTGGTCTACTCCATCACATCACGACAGAGCTTCGAGGAAATCACAACTTTCCAGCAGCAGATCCTGAGAGTCAAGGACAAGGACTACTTCCCCATGGTCGTTGTCGGTAACAAGTGTGATTTGGAGGGCGAGCGAGAGGTGACCAGGCAAGGTAAGCAACCGTCGTTGTCTGTCGTGGGCCACTTGACAAGTATCTAACATGGGATTTCCTACTTCTACAGAGGGTGAGGCGTTGGCGCGGTCATTCAACTGCAAGTTCATCGAGACGTCGGCCAAGTCCCGAATCAACGTTGACAAGGCCTTCTACGACATTGTCCGCGAGATCCGAAGATACAACCGCGAGATGCAGGGCTACTCAACCGGCAGCGGCGCCAACTCTGGCGCGAACCCTCCCAAGCCCATGGACATTGAGGGCGAGGAGCAGGAAGGCGGCTGCTGCAAGTGCGTCATCATGTGAGCGCCACAAACCATAATAGGGAGGCTGCATTGTCTTGTTGTTGCTCATGATGATAGAGGCGACATTCATGGTGGAAACGGGAGGCTTTTGGACGCTCAATGGCATGGCATGGAGTGTGCATGCAAACACCACGCGCGGCAGGACGGCCTTGGACGATCGACGAGCACAATACCTCTCAATGCATCGGACGGGGAGTCGGGTTCTGACTTGGGTCGCGCATTCGGATTTTCTTTTAGTTGCCTTTTTTTTTTTTATTTTTTTTCATGTCTTGCTCTATTTCGATGAAAATATTCTCCGCGCGTTGGTGGGAGATGGAACCGACGGGGTCGCTGTGTCAAATGGTTACACACAGCCTGGGAGCCCCCTGTCAAGAGCGCGTGCTGCTGCACTGCCAGAGGGGCAAAAAGAAAAGAAGAAGGCTTGGGAGCGATTTTGAACGAAAGTGAGCTGGAGGCGGCGGATGATGACGAGGGAGTTTCGACACTGCGCCATGCGTGTGTGCGCGCAGGCGGAACAAGAGGCTCTCGAGGGGGCCATGGCCATTAATTCCCCTCTTGGGCTTTGCGAGGGTGGTTTTTCTCAGACTCTGAAACTACGGGTCATACGTTCTTCTCTTATATCCCATTATTTCACACGTGTAATTTCATTTTTTTTCTACTTATTGACTGTTAACTTGCATGGTAATGAGGATTCGCTTCAAAGATTCTACTGTCCTTTTTTTGTATCTAGGACCAATCAATTCTACTGTGGTGCCTTTTGGGCCTTGAAACTCTTTGCTCACCTCTGATTGTTTTTGATGTCTTTCTCTTCTTTTCTCAACTTTTTTCTTTCTTCTTTGTTTAGAACATCTTGTCATTTCTTCTTCTTCTTCTTTTTTTCATTTCCTTTTCCCTTTCATTTTTATTTATTTTACCTTTTTCCTTTACCTTTATCTTTTCTTTGAACCCCTCCTCTCCCTTGATGAGACTAATAAAAGCAACTTGTAATTTTTTGTCGCAGGTTGAGCGGCATGTTTTAATTCGGTTTGGCTTCAAAAAATACCTTAGGTTGTCTAGTGCAAGTACAATAGAACTTCTGTTGAAATGGTGAGACGGGCCGTGTCCAAACTAGGTGTTGAAACCCGTCGTTTTAGGTGTGTACGGACATACATACATACATCATACCATTGTAATTGTGATTCATAGGTACTAAGGTTGTTAAGACGTGTTGGAAGTTTAATCGTTTAGAGTTGAAATGGGACTTATCCGGACTGGGCACCGACGTAGACTTCCGACTTCATTGTTGGATGTCTGGCTCGGTTCTATATGGTCATGGTGAGCTGCGCATACAGTTTCACGGAGAATAAGATGAATGTTTGGTTTATAAATCTTGACAATTATGAATGACAATAGACTACATGGTTCTCATACAGCCCTTTTGGGTTATGAGAATAGGAGAAAATATACTCTGTAAGCAAATGTTCAATACAATGATGAAAGCAAATTTCAACGCCGCGTCTACCAGTTCTTGACCTCTTCCAGTAACGACAACCAAGAGCTAAATCGGGCGGTAGACAAGAGTCCAAGTTTTCTCTCTAGAGGCCTCTCCGTTGGACTTGGATATATCCCGTGCTTGAGCTTCTTCTTGAGCTTCCTCTCCATCTTGGCCTCCGTGCTGTGCTTCAGCTTGCTCTCCCAACGACTCCATGCCCTGTTTGCAAGCTTGTTCGTCCAACGTTCCCTCTTGGTTCCCATTTGATCCTCCCTCCCAATCCATTGCAGATGATTCCCCGAAAGATACTTCGTCTCCGTATGCGTACGACCGAAGCTCTTCCTCTCCTCTCCTCACCTCCTCGCTAAACACTTCCTGCACCTCCTGCCCATCTCCACCCCGTCTCCCATATAAATCGTCAAAAGTAATCGCCCGAGGTGTCGAGACTATGGCCCTGGGCCCTTGAGGTCCAAAGATCCCCGTCGTTGGCTGATTCACGACCAAGTCGCCGCAGGCAAGACACTGCCAAGCAGTGCATTTGGCCACGTAGGAAACCCATTGGCGTCCGTCAAATGCAACCACGCGCGGCTGGTTTCCCCTGAGACACACAAAGCAGGTTTTGGCACCGTATTTCTCCCGGCACCAGTCTTGCATCCTCTGGGCTTGGACTACCACCTCGTCCGCGTACTTGAGGCGGTGGCTGTAGCAGAGGCGTTGAGTGACGAGTTTCGTTCCGCACAGGCATCCGGTGATTTTCTGGGCGTTGCCCATGAGCGTGATGGTGCCGCCGTCCTTGTTCAACGGGACGGGCACACCAAGTGCAAGGGCAAAATCCTCGCAGTTGCCCCAGACCTTGAGGTCGTCGGTGAGCCTGTCTCGCAACACTGGGCCGGGATTCTTGCCGACTCTCTCGGCGCAGTGGTTGCAGAGATATGCGCGCATGTTCTCTATTGCGTTCGAGTTGAACGAGCTTCCGATGCTGACCACCTCGATGGCGCTTGCTTTGCTGCAGTGGTCGCAGACGTGTACGGGGTTTTCTTTTCCGTGCTCGAGGCTTTGGCAGATGGAGTCTGCTTCGACTGGATTTTCGCAGAACTGGGTGTCACACAACTCTAGGCATCGACCGGCAGTGCTTGACAAGACATGCCTGGCACGCCGCGGTATGTCGTTGAGGACGTTATCGAAGCCGTTCTCGTCTCCCTCGTCCATCTTTGGATTCTCTGAAGCGATGCCAAACGGCGTGGACTTGACGTCCTCAGGGTTCTGCTTCATTTGATCCAGGTAGATTGTCATCTGCTGGTGCGGCTTCTTCAGGCTGAGGAATGCCTTGGAACAGCAGAGGCGTCGAGCTGGCTTCTTCGTCTAGAATACTCATAAACAACGCGATGTCTCTACTCATGGAATCTTTGTTGAGATCTGTATCAACATTAGTAGCCCGAACAGGAAGCGGGTTGAAGTCGACGTATTCCGTACGCAGTCTCGGATCGATGTTGGCATCTCTATCCTGCTCGTCGACGAGAAACCCGGGAGGATCGAGTTCCAAACTTGCTAGAAAGCCGAGGTCGGGGTCCTCAACGGGATAGTGATGCGAGTTCAAGTTGAGATAGTTGTCAAAGTCTGCGTTGAAATCGCTAGAAGCACCTGCCATCTGATATGGGTTGAGGCTGGCAGCTGGCGCGCAGGGGCTGGGATAAATATTCTGGCCGAAATCAAGATCCATGTTGACCGGGAGATCTGAGTTGAAATTGACAACTGGCGTTGCCTGGTCAGGAGGAGCGGCAGTGGTAAAGTCAAAGTGAGGGTTGAACCATTGGGAATTATCAACTGAGAGTGCTCTTGCTCCCTGGTTCACGATGTTTTGGTCTTGGCTTTGATTTTGATTTCCATTTGCATAAATGTAACCCATTGCATCGTTGGTGTTGTCATCGTCAATATCCATTGGCATTGGGATACAAGTCATGGCATCATCATTCAAAGGATTCGGAGCCTGAGCTGGCCCGGAACCAGGGCTGATGAGATTGAGGGCAGCAACAGCAAGGCCATGAGCACCGACGTTGCCAGCAACGTCGACGAGGCAACATTCTCCGTGATCAGGACCTCGCGTGAAGCTCTTCGGTTCGTTGCTCGGGAACTGCTCGACGAGGAGATGACGAGGCATCCCGCTGCGAAGATTCTGCACAAAGTTGCTTGCCGCTTTGATATAGTCTGGGTATCCCGGATAGTCCCTGATGGGGTGAAGCTGGCGGAACTGGGAGTTGATCCATGCTGCGATATCCTCCTTGGTGATCCTGCTCGTCGGTCCAAACACGACGCCGTCCTGAGCGAGAACGCCGTGGGGAGGCTTTCCATAGGCAAACAGCTTCTCTCTCAAATCGGCGGCGAACGATGCGACGAGCTGCCTGTTCTGCCTCTCGGGGATCATGCCGTAGATGCTCGTCAACGGCCCTACCCAGTGCTCCACGGCCGATCCGTCCTTGACATCGTTGACGCCTCGGGCACCGTATCCCAGCGCGAGATAATAGAGAGGCCCAGGACGCGGGTGTAGTCGGCCGTTTATACAATATTTGGCTGTGTCGCCCTTGAACGCATCGCACTCGTCGCCGTGCTCGACGCAGGAATCACACGGGCGTTGCAAGTCGCAGTTTCTCCCCTTCTTTATGCAGCACGAGCACTGGACAAAGGGCAAATGTAAGCCGATGCCGACTCTGGCCAGGTCAAAGATGGGATAACACGCGTCGTTGTCACTGTCGATACAGTCAAGGCCGAGCTGAGCACAACGATTGCACGCATGGCGATAGGAGCCGGCGTCCGCATGGCAGTGACAACGCTTGTCCTTGAGACATCGCCTGCACATTCGACGGTCCGTATCCTTGCGCCTACAATCGACAAATCCGAATTCGTGCGCGGGAGAGACATTCCAGGTTTTGGGGAGAGTCAAGACACGAGGCTCGGCGATGAGGCTTCCGCCGTTGAGACACGCCAGGTTGCGGACTCGACAGTTCCAGCAGTGTTGCTCTCGATGCCTCCGATCCTCGAGCCAGCTGCACCCGATGGTGGCGATGCCTCTCTTGGTCATTTGCTCGCAACATTGGCATTCTGTGCGTGTCCAGGGGGGTTTGCCGAGGACATGAGACTTGGGCGGTTTCTCCAGCTTGCGGCCGTTGATTGTACAGTGTCCATCCTTGCAGGCCTTTGTGGCTGTACAGGCGTAGTTGAGGATGGAATCGACGTTGCATTGGTTTGGTTTGCCGCTTTTGATGCACTGGTCGCAGGCCTTTGTCGGATACGTCGGGGGATCGTGTACGCCGTACCTTCGCCAGACCTTTCCGTTGTCTTTGGGCAGAGGCTCAAGAGGATCACACTTGTGATCCTTTTCTGGATGGGCTGAGCGGTAGTCGGCGCAGTTTTCACACTCGATGATGTCTCCGTTGGCAAGTCTTTGGTAGTTACACGCCCTTACCTGGGCCATTTGCCTGCCTTGGGGATCGTGTGTGCAAAAGGAGCAGCCTTGGTGTTTAGGTTTCGTCGTCGGTGGACCGTTGGCGTTGGGATCGTTGTTGGAATCGCCGTCATCGTCTTGTTCAAAGGTATTGCGGTTTCTCTTTTTTGTGGACGTTGGGTCGTCCATAGGTGTCACTGCTTGAGCGAAGCTCTTGAGATTGGCCATGGTGTTGAACTTTGAGCTCTATAGTCTAGGATACGATGATGAGTTGATGGTCAATATCGAGTTGAGTGCAAAGCATTTTTACGAAGATGGGCTTATAGACCAAGGCATATATATGCCAATTATATAGAGACTTTGAGTCGTCCATCATACTCGCGGGTGTAACATCTTGAACACATCTTGCTGATAAGAAAGATTTAGCGTTCAGAAACTGTAGCAATAAATCGAAACGGCGGCAATGAAACGGCTTTGTCTGCCTTGTTGGAACGGCCAGAGAGAGAGAGAGTCTGAACAAGAACAATTACAAGATAACGGTTGGCTGCAGGTTGGGTCGAAACCAACGAAAGGAACAATTGGAAGACAAGTTCAGACGGAAGAAGAAAAAAGGAGAAAGGAGTTTCCAGGTTTGACATTAATCTAAAGAAACAAAGAAAGACGGGAGGTCGCTGAATGGCAGGGATTATGAAAACAAAGAAAACTCTTTATTTAGAACGTAATAGTAGCGGTGTATCAAAGAATGTACTATTCTACAGCAGTATCAAAACTTGTTTGTTCAATAGAGCGAAACAAGTGGTTGTGAATTAACGAGAGAACAAGAACAAGACAATTGCCCAAATTTACTATCTCAAAGGCGGTGATTCAAAAAACAAGACGTTGTATACACTCTAAACCTACTAAACCATTGCATCTACGCCGTCTAAAACGCCCCCCTGTGAAACAAGCAAACAAAACTCACTTTGTCAGACGGTTCAAACAAGCTGCTTCTTCATAAACACCGACGGCACCGAAACCGCAATCCCCGTCTCCTGGTCCACCCACTTGTACATCTCGTCCACATAGCAGATGATGTCGTACCCCTGGCGCGCGTACCACTCCTCGTTGGAGCGGAAATCGGCGCTGGCAATCTCGGAGCCACGGATCTTGTTGACGATGGCGATGCTCTCGGGGGTGGTCTGGAACTTTTTCGTCGTCGTGTCGAGGGCCATGACGGTTGCGTTGAGGGGAGGGAGGCCGGCGAGGCGCTCGAGCTGGTGCATTGCGGAGCGGCCGAAGCCGCCGGCTTGGATGGCCCTGATTGATGATGGTGATGATGAGAATTGAGTGTGAGATGGGGAATGAGTAGTGATGATGAGATGAGATGGGAGGAGAGATGATGATGAGTATGGCCGTGAAGATCATGATGAGATGAGCTGAAAGAGTCTTGACATGAAACTTACCATGAAATGTACAGAGACTTGATCCAGACCGTGGAGTCGGGCAGGGAATACTGCTCCTGGCGCTCCGGGTACAGTTCGAGGGCAATGTGGCCGATGGGGATGAAGGAGATCAACGTCGGTGTCCTCGACGAGTTGCCCAGAGTTTCCGCTGTGTCGACGATGGCTTCTTTTTCCTGAACAACAAAAGTAAGCATTTCACAACCCTTTTCATCGTTTCACTTGTCCGGCTCGACTTACTTTGGGAAATCTTTCAACGTGCTTGGCCAGAAAGTCGTCCTTCTCAGGTACCTCATCGTTGATTGTCTGTTGCGTCTCCTTGTCAGCTCCCTTCACTCCCAATCCCACTCTCACACAATTGAAACTCACAATCCAGTACATGAATTTCGTCCCCTCGCGCACCTTGGCCCTCCACTCCTCAATCAAGTCGTAATCCCACGTACACGCCAGGCGCTGCTCGTACAGCCGCTTGCACTGGGCCTCGCTGTTGGGATCAAAGGGGATGAGAGTGGCCGAGCCGTGTTTGGGCGAGTTGATGAATTCCTGGGGCGACATGGTTTCGGTCCTCTTCTTTCTTTGCTTCTTCTTCTTCCTTATTCTTTGTCGGTGTGTGTCTGTGTGTTGAACTGGTGAATGTGAAAGAAACACCAAAAACAGTCTTTTTTTCCTTTCTTTATCTTTGTTCTGTTTTGTTAAATCCAATGAAACCGATTGAACACGTAAATGAGTTATCCAGAAACAAAAGAGTAAGAAGGAGGGAAAAAGGAGCAGCTCGGTGTGTCTCACATACATATACAGAACAACAACTAGACAAATGACTCTTCGGCGAACCCCAGATCCAGCCTCCCGTCTCCCGTCTCCAATCTCAGTCTAACCCACACACCTCTCTCGACTCGTAATTCGTATCCTAACAAACAAACTCGCCTTCTTTTAGCCTCCCGGTAAACGGGCGCGCTTCTTCCGTTGTGCTTCTGACTCATGCGCGCCATTGCTCTATTAGTCTGTCAACTACTCCGTAGATGGACTAAACTTGTTAACAAGTGCTGCATTTTGTCAAGCAACTTGGAGGCACTCCCGCTTGCTACGGTTTAGGTCTTACATGTAGAAAAGTCCGAGTTTGTACATCTAAAACGAAAGCCCGAACTGTTGACTTGCATGTGAATGATATGGAATCAACTATCGGTACTTGCCGCGTCCTTTGTGATATCTTGTAGCCATTAAGCCTAAATCCCTCGCATCTCTTTCATTGTTGCCTAGATATTGAATAGCTTATTAGTAGTTGGTTGCTCTTAACATCAACAGAAATAGAGATCGATATAAAGATTGTGTGCAAGCACCTTGTCAGTTACTCAGCATATCTATATAATTGGAATGCATGTCAATATTCCAACGTTGTGATACAAGTCAAACGCCGACACAAGAGTCGACAAGACCTAACAAGACCGCCGTCAGCGTTGCCAACTTTACATATTCGGTATTATTCCCACTCTCCTCGTCTACTCCTTTCTGGTAAAGATATATGTCTCTATCTACTGTAATATTCGGATATTTGCATAGTCAGCCTCCCCCATAGAACAACCCAAATGTCCTCCCTCCCAATAAGCATCAGCTCCAAATACCCATTCATCACCATATCGTTATTGTCGATTCCTTGCTTCAATAATGCTCTTCTTCTCGCTTCTTGGCCCTCCCTTGATTTCGCCTCCAAATTCCAACCCCGGGCCCTCTCTTACAGTCCTGCGCCCTCCTATTAACTTTGTGCTCTCTGAAACATACACGCTTGCGTCGCCTCGCCTTGTCCTACATCGTCCCAAGGTCGGATCCGTGTTGGTCGACGATTCCTATACTCCTCATCTCTCTCATTCGCTTCACTCTCCCCAGCCCCTTATTTGGTATTTGCTGTCAAAAGGTATTTTCTCTCATTTCAAATTTTCTCTCTCTTTCACATCTGTTTATTCGTCCTTGAATCCACTTCAGCCGGCAAACTGGAATCTGGTTGCCTCGAGCTGTCCGAGACCGTCTCGAGGGGCAACGTTACGGCGCCGATATGTGTTGGTAAAGTCTTGCAGTAGCACTCTCACATGTCGGATACCGCCGGCCTCGTTCGCCGCAAGTCGCTCCTTGATCTTGGCCAACAGCCTGTTTGCCTCTTCCGGTGATACAGTGCCTTGAGGCAGTAACTGGATGGTGCGCGAGACCCATTCCGTCGTCTCCACGGGCAGAAGCTCGAAGAGACTAAGCAAAACGCCACTACCGTCCGCGAAGCAGTCCCTTGGGAAGGTAATCATCATACCGGCCATGCACTGCTTTACCAGGTTTTCACCGTGGCTGGCGAGGAGGCCCTTAACTATAGTCCTGATTTCGGCCGCGGTTGCCTCCGGTAGTCCCTCACTGCTGGCCGGGTTGTCGCCACCGTATGACAGCAGGTCCCTCAAGAAGTGAAGCGTGGAAGAAAGAGGATCCCGCTGCTCCAGCGTCAAGGCGTAGATGGAGGCCTCGAAGATGGGCACCAACAGTGGAGACGGCACCAGCTTTTGAGGATAGTACAGCAGCGCATCGATGAGCAGCCGGAAGAAGTCGTCAATCACGTCCGGCAGCTCCTTGGGCTGCAGCTCGGTCATGACTCTCAGAAACGTCGTCATTTGCGCTTCGAAGAACGTGTAGATGTTTTCGGTGATGGATGGATCCACGTGTTCCCGTGCCTCGGAGAACTCTCGCAGAATGGCAGACGTGACCCAGAGGAAACAGCCCTCCCTAGAGACATTGAAGCCGCCAGCCAATTTGTTTGCCATGTCTGCCAGCATGGGCGCGATCGCAGTGCGGTAGGAAATGACCATGTTTCTCCAGCACCTACATACCCTCTCGCAGATGGGAGAAAAGGTCAGGAAGTTGTCCAGGACAGTAGACAAAATAGGGAAGATCTCCTGCCAGTACTTAACTGCGGGATTCTCCTCTCCAGGGTTGATTAGTGGCATCACATTTTGCACAAAGATGGTGATGAGCTGTAGGTGATCTATTGTTTCGATAACGTTAGCAAAGGAGCTGGGACCGCAAGAGTAATGGGGGGAAGTAGAAGAGGGAATATGGTGGAGGGGCAAGTCATTACCTGCTACGGCCAGTTTACCCTCGTCTGTAGTCGCATGGTTTGCCTTTGTCATCAGCCTTTGGACCAGAGGATCGCAGTACGTCTTGAGCAAACGATAGGTCTCGGAGACGGGCTGGACAGCGAGGACGTTGGAAACGCCCTCGGTGACCTCTTCCTTGCTGAGATCTGGCAGCTTATCCAGAACTTGGTCGTAGAACGTCTGAAGCTGCAGCACTTGGCCGCTGAGGAGATGCTTGCAGTCGGTGCAGAAGAATTTGAGCGACAGCGCCGCCGCGCGGTTGATTTCTCGCGAGTCGGACTGGAATGAGTTGACAATGTAGTTGAACTGAGGCTCCAGGTACTCGGGATGAGCCGCCGTCCACTCCGTATACCGTCCGAGCACCATGATGGTGGCAAAGCGCAGCTTCTCGTGGCTAGGCATCTGCACCAAAAGGGGCATCAGCTGAGGGAGAACGACATCCTCCTCCTTGTCCACCATGCGGCCGAGGGCGCGCATCGCAAACAGCGGAGCCTCGAGCTCCTGCCAATGCGGCACTGTTGCTTCGGTGGCCTGGCTGGCGTACCCTTGCGTCCACAGCTGGATGGCGTGAAGCACCTTGGTGAGGCACTCGGTGACGCCCATTACTTCGCAGCAGTCCTTGAGCGTGTCGCCCATCTGGTGTCGGAACTCGCGAAATTTCTCTTCTTGCTCGCGGTCCCCGTCGAACAGGTCTGTTTCGCTTCCAGACTCCGGCCGTGGGTATTGCAGGTGCAATAGTAGAATATCCACAAGCTTGGAGAAGACGTCGACCAGCTCCAGTCTACCTTGAATATACCTTTCCAGCACCAGATACTGCTTCAGTTCATACCAAAAGTTGAATGTGTGCTCGATAACCTCTCGATCCTTGTCTCGGGCGGCGCATTCGAGGACGGCGTCCACGAGGGGCCGGAATTGAGCCGGCTGTCGTGCAATGGCTACCACCCAGCTTTCGGCTGCTGTTGCTAGAACCTTGGTTAGAGATTTCAACCCTTCGGTATCCTCTTCTTCGACGAGGGTGGCGATGCGCGGCGTCAGGCTGATGATTCGGGGGAACAAGGTCTGGATGATATCCTGGGACTCGTCGACGTCGCCCGTCTCTCTTAACATGGTGCTCAGACACTCTGCAGCCTCTTGACTGCACCCGTCAGACGCTATCCCATGGAAAATCGCATCCAGAAGCGGCGAATTGGCGATGGTGGCCACGGGGACTTCGCGAAGCCAGGATGTGATGCATTCCATCAGGAGGGGGTTTTGGGATGCGGCAGCTAGAGAAAACCTCATGTCAATCTTCCTTTTTCGTTTATAGATACGCCATGGGGGCTGAAAAAAAAAACAAGGGCATAGAGTAACTTACGTGAAGACTGTGAATAATTGATGAGAAGCTGCACGACTTGGTCTGCATTATCTCCCAGCAATGCCTGCGTCCGCAACGCAAGGTCTTCTTCCTATTTCCAAACAATTAGATGTGTTCTCCGAAGGTGAATGCCGACCGGCCGAAAGGGTAATCGATGAAGGCCTAGTGTCGCGCCGATTTTTTTATAGAGTATCGCAATCCACGTACAGACAAGGTAATTTTTCGACCTTCAGTCACCTCCTCGGGAAGGACTCGTAAAAAGTCGAGAATACAAGCATGGCTCTCGGGGCTGTCGCTCAGGGACTGGACAACCGAGTGGAGCACATCGTTCCAATCCTTCATTTGGATCGCCAGGATGGCCAGACACACGCACAGCTGGACTCGAATGGGTTTTGGTCCGGAGGCGTAGTGCTTCAGAAGGAGCAGAATCTGATTTCGAAGCGCGGGCAGCTCGTTCGGGGCCACCTGGGTGATGAGATCATAGGTGATCTGGCATTGTTAGTAGGCTGCGGACAAGGGCAAGATGACAAGAAAATGGAGCAACCTTTCCACGAAGTGTGATGGCGGCAAAGAGTGTCGCCTCGGGCTCGGCCTTGGACTGGAGAATGCCAATTACTGTTCCCCACGAGTCCTTCTATAGATGAGATGGGTGGAGATGATTAGCAAGCTACACCAACCCGAGAGCTGGTCAACAAAACGAGCAGGCGGATTGCGACGTACCGATTTCTGGAACAGCTCCAAGTATTCGTGCGCCTTCTTCTTTGCCTCCTGCTCCCCGCTTCGCATCGTCATGACGGCACCTAAGACGTCCGTAGGCGCAAAGGCCCCTTGCGAGCCGTTGGTGGCCATGTCGGGCGCAAAGGAGAGAGACGGCTGGGGAGCTTAGGGGAGATGAGATGCCGACGGAATCTCTTCGGCGCGGATTTGGGTAGTCGAGGAGCGAGCAGCGCTCATGAGCCAGCGTTGACGTGCTGGAGGAGAAGGACAATCGTGAGCTGAATCCCGGGGTCAAGAGACGAAATACGCCAGGCCAGGCCAAGCAGATGGCGGGATCAAGAGAGGATGAGAGACGGAGAGGGAGAGATGGGAGAGGAGAGGAGGAGAGGAAGCGACAGAGGCCCTGGAGCGCGAGAAGAGGCTTATAAGAGTCGCAGGCTGCTGGCTTTGCTGGATGGCTGGCTCCAGGCAAAATCATGGAAGTCGGCCTTGCCTTGGTCGAAGTGGCATGGCTCCTCAGAGGCTTGAGTTGGCGGGGCAAATCCGCTGGGGGAGCTCTGGCAGCCGATGTTTTTCCGCCTCCGTGGCATGTGGGTGTACTTTGTTGCTTGGTCACTCCCGCGGCCGGATTGAGTGCAAATGGACATGGACTCTCGAGGACGACGAGATTGCCATGGATTGGACAGAGAGAGGCGTCTTCTAATCTTTACCCGTGGCTTAATTATGGTTTGATCGCCCCAGAGTCACCGTAATCTGTACCTACACTTCTAATCGCCACAAATCAATCCAAGTAGTGTACCTATGCCGCTCGCCTCAACTGGATATACAAACTCACTTCGCCTCACTCAGTTAAAAAACTTAGACGAGCGTGGATACTAACTCAATATTTGAGTATTCGTTTAATTCATACCCACCAGTGACCTCCATGTGATTATTACGATACATTACCCATAAATCTTCCTTACCTACTAGGTACCTATCCGCCAACATAAACCCAGTACTTGGCATAAGTCTATCTCTTGGGATTACTGGCTTTAGCGTAAGTACTATCAAGTAGGATTTTTACTATGCCTGGCAGCCTTCGTCTTCTTGGGTACATGTAGTAACATCTAAAGCCTCACACCACGGCGCACTGCAAGCTCAAGGCGATGTGGCCTCCTTCCACCTCGACCACACAAACGAAGCCCTATCTTCGAGACTTTTGACCGAACGCGGGATCATCTGGTACGGTATTCCTGTACTCTCTAGCATACGACAGAACTCATTGTCATACTCCGTCCAGTCCTCTACATCTCGTGGCATAAGTCTAACTCCATCGCTTACAAGCCAATCCTCCACCGTTTCGCAGACAAACACCAATGATTGTGACATGCGATCTCTCAACTCTTGCCAATAACTAGACGAAGTCATGAGGTTCACGGCCTCACTTCCAATATGGCGCAATGCGTATATGATGGGATCTATTCCCGAGCGATCGGATATAATCCAGGGATTCCTTGTCAAGGCGTCGCGCTCACTGTTGAATTGAGCTTCCAATATGAGCTCCTGTAGCTGCAGGCAACGGCCAGGATCTGAGGTGATATCGCTGGCTGTAAATCCATGAATCTTTAGCACCGAGCGAGCAACCTCTCTGACAATAATGGGAGGCGTGGTGCTGAATAAATCGGCAAAGGAGGTTTCTAACGCGTTGACAAGTGAAGTTTTGCCCGTACATTGCGCGCCGATGATGTAGATGTTCTTTGGCTTGAACTGCTGAGATTCGCTGACAGCTCCCATTTTGCTCACAAATTGCGTCTGTGAAAGATCAATGTCTGGGCGGGAAAGGTGGAATCATCTGGAACGAGGGCATTATTGGCGAATACGACGATATATAGAGCAATCGGCGAGGGCTAATGCGGGAGGCCTTCGATATGACATGTGCATGTACGTATCACCAGAGCCTCGTGCGAGTGCGGAAAAATGCCGTGCAACCAACCGTGCACATTCACATCACATTCCCCTCCTTCGGGGATGCTGACATTCACGGTGAATTTTGTTTCCATCTTCAACTGAACCAGCAGCGCAATATCGCCCAAGTGAAATCGGATGAAATATTTCTGCTTCATCCATCCATGTACACCAATCACAGTACTGAAACGAGCAAGCCGGATACAGTCACCCAAAGATGCCTCCTCGAGCCTCGTCCAACCCCAAATCCTTTGAACATGTCCTGCTCGACAAGATTTCCCTGGATGATCAAAAATGGGAATTCCAGGTCCCACGGCTGCCCACTGCCGAAGCAACAAATGGGTTGAAGCTCATCAAAATGGTCAGCCTCTCGACCAAGAACTCTCAACATCGGCTCCAACTTCGCTATGGACCTGTGGATATGAATCGTGCCATTCAAGATGTGCCCCTTGACCGGTATCTCGTCATCTCTCTGGCCGAGTTTCGCTCCCTCAAAGGCGCCAGTCCTTCATCTTCAGCAGAGGGAGCTACAGATAAAGTGGTACAGCCAACAACTTTTCGAGAATGTTCAGACTATGCAGTCAGGCTCCTTCGCACAGGAATCACAATACAAGGTGTGCATTACAACTTCTACGGCCACAGCAACAGTCAGCTCAAGTCTCGCACCTGTTATCTCTGCGCAGCCTCCAAAGAGCAAATCACCCAGAAAGTGGAGGCATTGGGTGACTTTACCAAGATGAAGACTGTGGCCAAAAAAGCAAAACGAATTGGCCTCCTGTTTTCAGTGGCTCGCGCAGCAATGCAAGTTGATCCGAAGAAAGTCGAAGACATCCCGGATATCGAGGTGGGAGACTTTATATTCACAGACGGCTGCGGGCTGATAGCGCCAGGCCTTGCCAGCCAGCTATCGCGACGCATCAAGATCTCGTTTCGCAACATGAGATACACGCCTTCTGTATTTCAAATACGATATCGTGGATACAAGGGCGTGGTGACGCTGGATCCCACCATGCCAAAGGGGGGGCCGTGGCTCAAGATGAGAAAGTCGATGAAGAAATTCAGCGGCGGCGACGACTTATCTTTTTCGGTCGTAGAATACTCAAAGGTAAGGTCATTTCATCTCACCATGTATCAGAATACTAACAGCCCATGCAACTTCAGCCGTATGTATTTGGACATCTCAACGACGAGGTGGTTGTTCTTCTCGACGCGCTGGGCATCAGTCGACAGACTCTCCTTCGCAAACAGGAAGAGCACTTCAAATTCCTCGCCGAGGCACATCAAGACCCACGAGTTGCGTTTAGAATTCTCTGCCATTTGAATATGCCACAGGTTGCCGAACGGGTCATTATCGATTCGTTGGACGCCGTACGGCCAACAATCAACAAGCTCATCAACGCTGAATACGACAAGATGCTGAACAAGCGGGACGAACAAAAGTGCCGTATCCTAATCCCTAAATCGAGACTCTTGTTTGGAGTTTGCGATGCTTGGGGCGTCTTGAAACCTGGCCAATGCGCCGTCAAAGTGACTATGGATGGAGACGGACAGCCTTACGCATTGAAAGGTACGAAAGTGCTGGTGACGAGGAATCCTTGCTTGCATCCAGGAGATCTTCAGAAGCTCGATGTTGTGGAAAGGCCTGAACTTGCACACCTGGTCGACTGTATTGTCTTCCCTACAACAGGACGGCGACCAGCGGCGGATATGATGTCAGGGGGCGATCTGGATGGCGATACCTTTTTTGTGACGTGGGATCCAGACATCATCCCATCGACGGTATCCCAAGCGGCGCACTATCCAGGAGTCCGGGAACCCTTGAGGTTCTCGCCAATTACAGATGATGATCGCCTGCTCTACTTTGCCAAGTATACAAATGCCTCGCTAGGTCGCGTCAAGAATCTCTATCTGAAGTGGGCGAGGGCCACTAATGCCATGAGCCCCGAGTGTCAGGAACTCAATCGTCTCTTCTCACAATGCGTTGATGGTAATCGCATCAAGGACGATCAGCTCAGGAAGTTTGAGAAGCCGCCGGAACCAGGTGCGGATGCGCCCCCGTTTGTTCTCGATGAGCTTCACGAAGCAGCCAAGAAAATCATCATGGAGCAAAAACACATGGCTCAGAATCATATGAACAACATGGAGGGGTATACTTTTGACGGTGTTCAGCTATTGCTGTGTAGAGACGATATTGCCATTTCCGAGGCCGAGTTGATCAGGATGACTGTGAGATGGTGTAGGAGAACAAACACCTCCTTCTACGATTTGATGCACATGTTTGACCTGAATTCTCTGACTTCAGAAGAGAAGGCATGGATTTTGGCTCAAGTGCCTGCGTACAGTGATGCCCCAAGCCTGGTTCTCAACGCTCTCTCGTCATCAAGCTTGGTCACTGAGGCAGAATTGAAGCATTTCCATCTCGACTATCCCGGTCTTCACTGGAAGCGTGTCTATACATCCGAGGAAGATCGACTAGCCACCTTTTTGGAAGCAGCAAGCAGAAATCTCGAGCTGTTTCACAAAAAACTAATCGTCTTCCGCCCAGATGAGCGACTGACGTTGGCAATGTACGTGCCGCAAAAGATTACGCCGGCCGACGACTTTGTGGTGGGCAACAAGGTGAGGTTGTTTGCCTTTCCGCACTCTCAAGGAAGAGAGACGCAAAGCCGACTTTCCCTGCCGACCAAGAAGGAATATCGGCTCTTTTGCGATGAGAATCGATTGCAGTTGTTTGATCGCACCGTGGGGAATACGTGGGTGTTTATTGGCCGTGGGGGGTCAAACGATAGTAGCTACCGGAATGCGGCCAACGAACAGGATCGTCGAAGGGCAAGGCAGCAGACTCTTGCGAATGGGACCAATGTTAATTACAGAGCGAGCGTTGCGCTGGACAAGTTTAGTAGGAATCTACAGACGCATATTGGGAGGCTACAGAGGCAGGGCATCTTGGCTGCGGTGAGTTCTTTTCTACAGATTACATATAGAAACGTAACGCCCTGCGATAATGCTAATTTCCTTGTAAAACAGGAGATATACATCATCAGCAACAGAGACGTCAGTTCGATGCGCAATCTGGACCTATGGGAGGACTACATTGGCACCGAGCAAGTCTTGCCCCTATTCCCCCGCGAACCCAAAGAATACGACGTCCCAAAGCTTCAGGACGTCGACTGGTCCTTGGGCGCGCAACCTCCTCTGGTAGTCGAAGTCGTCAAAAGGGGAAATCTATCCGCTCTACAAGACGTGCTAGATCCGGCGACTTTGCAGCAGCTCTTCGCCTGGCTGGTGGAACATGAGCAGCGAGGGTTGCTTACGCGCTGCTTCGAACACTTGATTACGAACATCAGGAATGATAAAGTGATGGCTCCGGCAGAAACTCTGCGCACCATGGCCGATTTCTTACAGATGATGCCTTATGTCTCGGCTACATTTGCCAATCTGGGTTCGTGGAGAGAACTGCCTGAAGAACTGGTCGTTGTTCTGCAGAATAGCAGCCACATACTGCTTCGCAGCATTATCCTATCTGAAGCTGAATTTGGAGACCTTGCGTTAACTCCCTTCCATACCATCTTGGATAACGTGGATTGGCTCACGTTGGTCTCCTTTGCCGACCTCGTCGAGCTGATTGCGCTTACCGTTAACTCGTCGAGCACGGCGCTGGATCTTCTCCTCGAAGGCCTTGATAGACACAGTTCCAGGCTGCTGACTGGTAGGCCGGCCATTGTTCAGAATTTCGTTCACAACATAATCGGCATCGCGGTAGAGCATATTGGGTCGGTGCAGGAAGAAGCCAAAAGGAGAGACGAGCTTCTGAATATCCGAATCGCCAACGACGAGAAAGAAACAAACTCTAGCAAAGAGCAACCAGGGACTTTAGTCGAAGTCACTTTCAGAATGGATGCCATTGGCGGCACGCCGATATCCAATACTCACGTACGACTCATAGCAGCCAGTCCGCCATCGAGCTCGATCTTGGACAGGGTGTATTCCATGGATGGCCTAGTTGTCGAGAGCAGGTCGGGGTTCGCCAAGATACGCTGCTTTCATCCACCGCCGTCTTACGCCGAGAAATGCTCCTGGATACTGGAAGAGTGCGGCTTGTTTGTGACCGCAAAGACGATGCTAGATGCCGTGCGCGATCTCGCAACTTACGAATACGCTTGCTGTGGAGTGCTTGATCAAATCATTGGAATTCAGCCCCAAGCTGTTGCCAGCGAAGAAATTATTACTGAAAACGCAAGCAATGAAGTGGCATCATCTTCGACTCCATCTGCAGCGGAGGCTTCGTTGAACCCAAGTCAAAAAGCCGCAGTGGAAGCATCACAGAAGAACAAACTAGTCTGTCTTTGGGGGCCCCCAGGCACCGGAAAGACGCAAACCATCGTGGCAATCATCAGAAGACTGCAACTAGACCCTACTATCGGCAAGATACTGGTCACTGCTCCAACGCACAATGCCGTGGACAATGTCATGAGGAGATATCTCGGGCGAATCAGCCAGGAAGGCCTCCTGCAGAGCTCAAAGATGGCTCCCTTGCGCGTGGCAACAGAAGTCCGCAAAGTTGGCGAAGACTTACGAAAGTATACATGCGATGCGCTGGCCGGCCAGGAAGTACACTCGAGCCATGATGCCATGCGTCAGGCGAAGAAGCGTGTCAAAGCCGCCGGAATCATCTTCACGACGTGCATCGGAGCAGGCTTAGGCTTGCTGAGGGACCAGGTGTTCGACACGGTGATTGTCGATGAAGCATCCCAGCAGACGGAGCCCGCATCGCTGGTGCCGCTGGCAAAGGGGTGCGAAAAGGCGATTCTCGTGGGTGATCATGTTCAACTGAGGCCGACTGTACAGAATATCGCACTTGCGCTGGACTTTGACGTCTCGCTGTTTGAGAGATTGTACACTCGAGGTAGGACAACGCCAAACATGGTCAAGGTGATGCTGGACACGCAGTATCGCATGCATCCCTCCATATGCAGCTTCATCTCGAAGGAATTCTATGAGGCAAAGCTATTATCTGGGCTCAAGGATCAAGATAGGCCGATGCCGTCTTCGTCTTTCCCCTGGCCAACCTCTCCAGCTACCAAGAATTCAACTCATCTCTCTCGGATAATCTTTGTCGAGTGTTCTGGAAGAGAGGACTTGGGCCACAAGTCCAAATCTAATAAAGAGCAGGCAGACTTGTGCCTCTCCATCTGCAAACTCCTACGCACAGCTAAAGCTACATCATCGACTGAAACACACGCCAACGACGCGCAGGCCACTACTACTACATCCATCGCCGTGTTGACTCCTTATTCACGGCAATCCGAGATTCTCCAAAGATGCCTTTCCGGGATTCCAAACGTCGAAATCTCTAGTATTGACGGCTTTCAGGGGCGCGAAGCCGACATTGTGATTTTCGTCACCGTTCGCTGCAACGAGAGCCGAGAGATTGGGTTCCTCAAGGACCTGCGCCGGATGAACGTAGCTCTCACCAGGGCCAAGTTTGGCATGATTGTTGTGGGAAACAAGGCGACTCTGACGGGCGGGAGGGAGGAGGAGGAAAGTACGGGGATGTGGAGGAGGTTTATGGACCAGCTTTCTGGCGTTGAGCTCTGAGCTTTTGCACAAGCAGATTGCGTGTAGCAGCCGAGCATAAGGGAATGATGAAAATTTTGTGATTCATGGGACCGAGTCACTTTGACAACGTAGCGAAGTAGACTCACAGAGAGGTGCTGGGCATATATCAAATGAAACAAGAATCCTAATGACATGAGATGGTATCAGGATGCGCTTATTGACTGAGTATCGGGCGAAAGCTTAATCTCGCCATTGCCCAGTATCAGGCCGTGCAGCTTCCGGTCATACTGGCCCATGGGCACCGGCTCATCCGTCTCCGGGTTGAGAAGCTGCTCCGTGAGAGCCAGCCCGTAGAAGCGAAGCACAGGGCCATCATGACCAGCTTCATCATGAGGTTTCGCAGCCAAGTACCTGTTGAGAAAGAAGTCGTAGAAGCCTTTACCGTGGCCGAGTCGCCTCACGCTTCCCGCACCATCGGTATCGAAAGCCACACCGGGCATAAGGATCAAATCCAAGGTAGACTGGTCTGATCTGTGCACATCTGGTCCCCCGAGGATGCGCTGCCGCAGATGGACGGTGGCTGGATCTATGCTGGGAATCCCCCAAGAATCTCTCTGAAGGCCGTCGTAGTCGTGGACATCCTGCAGCTGAACCATGTCCATCACGCGAGCTGGCGTTCCGGGTTCGTCTAGGGGCGACTTGTGCAGATAGGGAACAAAGACTTGCTTTCCCGAGTTGAGGGCATGGCGAACGATTGCGTCTGTCTGGATCTCGCCGACGGGCATGGAGAGGTATACGCTGATGCGGTTGGCGTCTTGGTAGGGCTTGAAGGATTTGAGCGTCTCGAATATTGTGCTGCCTGATACGATTTAAGTGTCAATCTTCTCAAAAAAAAAAATGATGGAAGAAAACAAAGTGATGGGGAGTGGTTGGACGTTGATGCTATTTGAGTTGGTCATACTTTGAGCGAGAACGGAATCCTGAGAGACTTTGGAGAGTCTCTGCTTGAGGAGACGCCGAAGCTGCTGCTTGGCGGTGGCCAATGGAGAGGCCATGATGAAGTCAGCCGCAAAACGCCCCCCAAAATTTGCTGAAAAATTACAGAGCTGCAGCGTCAATGCGAGGTTGATGATGAGTGAGATGAAGAGCTGGTGGAATCTGGTGAGCGCCGATGGCGGGGAGAATCATCGGATCGGAGGGTCCGTGATCCGGCCCGGGATTCCGTTGAATTGCATTCCATTGCGTAAGGTACAGTAGAGACGGGACCCGAATCAGGCCATGGCTGTAGTAATAGCAGACTACCTAGGATTAAGAGGCTCGGCTCGGGCCATGGCAGTTGGAATTATACGCATCTGCATGCATGATGACGGCGATTACGATTACACGGCATTTCCGCTGAGCTGAGCTGAGCTGAGCTGAAGATGTTGAAGATTTCCGTGTTACCCAAAGACAGGACCGGAGCTTTCAGGTACTCTAGGCATCAGCGTGTGTGTGTATGTATGCATTCAAGGTCCAATCAACGCGAGTATATTTTGTACAGGATGACTTATTTGATCCTTGCTTTCTACGCCATCTGCTCCTCTTCCAGTCCAAGCTACAGTAAGCGTTGTCTCACATTGTGTCTGTCACCGATCCTTCGGAACCGCATTCGGACAAGGTCGGAGAAGCAACAATGTTAGTTGAATATTCCCAGTGTGGCTGGACGGGAAATACAGTGAGTGATTCATCCTTCACTTGGCTGCATACAAGAAAGACAAATGGCATCACTGGAGGCATGACGGTTGGAAATCAAGGCGCGCCGATTGGGCTGCCCGGGCAGAGGATTTAATCTGATATAGATTGATGCGCCGGTGTGACCAACTCCAGCTCCGGCCGGGAACTTTTGATTGCATCGCTAGCTGGGTTTGCGGGTGACAGACACGCCTGCATGCAGACAGACGCCTGTTCATGCAAGGGAGAGGCCCCCCAAAACGAAACACGGCAGAAGCAGAACAAGGTGGTTTGATATCTGATGCCGCGGATTGGGCCAAATGTCATGGAAGTAATCTTCAAATGTTTCAGCTGTTGGCAGTATCCAATTGACTCATCACCAGCTCTACAGCGCCCGCATTAGTGCATTCTCCCGCTATAACCCGCCCCCCACCATCACCATCGAAATTTCGATTTGATCCGCCCTTTTTCAACCAAACCGCCCCGCCATGGGTCGAGCCAGCGAATCCAGGACTTCAAGCTCCCCGGCCAGCGATTCCTTTCCGCGGCAGCATGGCGTTGCTCTGCAGAATCTGGCGCGAACAAGGACAAGAGCATCGGCATCACCAGCAGTAGAACCAGCGCCAGCTTCAGCCGTCACTGCACCATCAGCCGCTGTCTCAGCCGCTGTCTCAGCCTCGGTCTCAGTCTCAGTCCCGGGCTCTCGCTCTCCAACCCCAGGGATCCTCCCCGTCCCACAACCGCAGCAATCCCGTCCCCATTCCCGGTCTTCGACTACTTCGACTACTTCATCCCTCTCCCTCCCCCCTCCTCTCTCGTCCTCCATCCAGCATGATCGCTCTCCTGGGCTCGACGAGGCTGTAGCCCAGCCTGCTGCGTCTGCTGCCATGGCCTCCTCCAGCAAAGCCTCCAGCAGGGCGACGAGAACAACAGCAACGTCATCGGCAACGGCAACGGCAACGGCAACGGCAACGCCGCCGCTGCTCTTCGCCGATGGCCGTCGATCCGACTCGTCGCCCTACGGCTCCACGGCCATGACCCCGAACCGCAGCCAGTCTCCCTCCGGGTCCGGGTCCGGGTCCGGGTCCGATTCCAGCAACCGTGGGCTTCGCCTTACCCGTTCAACCAGCCGGGGCGACGTCTCCAGACGATCCTTTGCTTCCCGGCGGTCGTCTCGAAGGTCCGGCAGCTTCGACGGCGCGGCGCTGGTCTCCGGCGTCGAGGGCCGGTTTGGCATGCCCGAGGCTCTCCTGTCAAGCGTCGTGCTCGACGACGACATCTCCGAGGACGGGCCGCTGCTCGACGGAGCCTCTTCCTCGACCGAGATCCCCGACCAAGACGCCGACGAGAACTCGCCCAACGAAGCCGTGCGAGCCTCTGTGTCACCAATCGACGATACGACGCTATCTATAAACACGCCGCGCATGTGGTGCTTGTCCGTCCTCTTCTCCATCCTTGGCTCCTCCACCAATCTGTTTTTTTCTTTGAGATACCCCAGCGTTGCCATTACTCCCGTCATTGCGCTGTTGCTCGTCCACCCTCTGGGCCATCTATGGGACTATTTATTGAAGCGGTCGTACGACCCCGAAGAGGAGTTCACCGACGGCGTACGGACCGCCATCTCATCGCATAGCCACGACGGTCATGGTCAGAAGAAGCGGCTCGACTCCCTACGTCTGTGGTTGGCCCAGGGCAGGTGGAACGAAAAGGAGCACACATGTGTCTATGTGAGCAGCAATGTTGCTTTCGGTTTCGCCTTTGCCACGGATGTCATTGTCGAGCAGACGCAATTCTACAATCAAGAGGCCCCCATCGCCTACCAGCTACTCTTGACGATTTCGACGCAGATCCTTGGCTATGGCTTCGCGGGAATGGCCCGCCGCTTCTTGGTTCGCCCCAGCGGCATGGTGTGGCCCGGCACTCTCATGTCCGCCGCCATGTTTTCCACTCTCCACAAGCAGGAGAACAAGCCGGCCAATGGCTGGACCATCAGCCGCTGGAAGTTCTTCTACATCATCTGGTCCTGCGCCTCCATCTTCTACTTCCTGCCGGGTCTCCTGATGCCCGCTCTCAGCTACTTCAACGTCATCACCTGGTTTGCGCCCAAGAGCGTCGTTCTCGCAAACCTGTTCGGCGTGTCTTCCGGCCTCGGTCTCTTCCCCATGACCTTTGACTGGGCTCAAATCACATACGTCGGCTCGCCTCTCTTGGTCCCTTTTTGGGCTGCCATGAATGTCATTGGCGGTCTGGCCATCGTCATGTGGATCATAGCACCGTTATTCTACTACAGCAACGTGCTCTACTCCTCTTACATGCCCATCCTTTCTGCGGCCGTCTTCGACAACACGGGCAAAGTCTACGACGTCAGCAAGATTCTCACTGCAGACTTTCTCTTCGATCGGGAAGCGTACTCAAACTATAGCCGCGTGTTCCTGCCCGTCACGTATATGCTCAGCTACGGCGTCCAGTTCGCCGGCCTCGCTGCTCTCTTGACGCACACCCTATGCTGGCACGGCCAAGACATCTGGCACACGTGGAAGAAATCGCTAGTCGAGGCCAGAGGACAAGGCAAGGAAGGCTACCAACAAGTCTCCGACTCCCCCGACCCTTCATCGGCCACCGCCGCACAACCAGAAGGGACTCCCCGTGTATCAATGTCGGGATCCCACGTCGAAGGCCTCATGAGCCACGAGGATATTCACAGCCGCCTTATGAAGCGCTACAAAGATGCCCCCGTTAGCTGGTACCTCGCCACCTTTGTCTCCATGGCAGCCATTGGCATCTTTGTCGTTGAATAGTAAGCTATTTCTCTCCATATGAATTCTCGCATGTCTCTAAAGCTGTTACTCACGCCCCATCTTCTCTCCAGCTATCCCGTCCACCTTCCCTGGTACGGCCTTCTCCTCGCCCTGGCCATCGGCGCCATCTTCTTCATCCCCAACGGCATCATCATGGCCATCACCAACCAGCACAGCAGCATCTACCTCATCTGCCAGCTCATCTGCGGCGTCGCCTTCCCCGGCCGCCCCATCGCCAACATGGTCTTCGTCACCTACGGCTACATCTCCTCGGCCCAGGGCATCAAGTTCGCCTCCGACCTCAAGCTCGGCCACTACATGAAGATCCCGCCGCGCATCATGTTCTCCGTCCAGATCGTCGCCACCCTCGTCTCCTCCGTCACCCAGATCGGCGTCCTCAACTGGATGTTCGCCAACGTCCGCGGCATCTGCACCCCCGAGGCCGTCAACGGCTTCACCTGCCCCATCGCCCGCGTCCACTTCAACGGCTCCATCCTCTGGGGCGTCGTCGGGCCCGGCGAGTTCTTCGGCGCCCGCGCAATCTACCGCTCCCTCGTCTGGTGCTTCCCGCTCGGCGCAATCCTGCCCATCCCCCTCTGGTTCTACAGCCGCCATAAGAAGCACAGCCTCATCCGCAAGGTCAACCTCCCCGTCATCTTCGGCGCCATGGGCTGGATCCCGCCCGCCACGGGGCTCAACTTCTCCGTCTGGGCCCTCGTCTGCTTCTTCTTCAACTACCTCGTCAAGCGCCGCGCAAACGCCTGGTGGGGCAAGTACACCATGACCCTCAGCGCCGCCCTCGACTCGGGCCTCGCCTTTGGCATCGTCATTGTCTTCTTCGTCTTCATCTACCCCGGCTGGATGAAGGGCTTCACCTGGTGGGGGACCGAGGTCTACAAGCAGGGCTGCGACTGGCAGGCCTGCTCCTTCAGGACCGTTGACGACGGGCAGCACTTTGGACCTGATTCTTGGTGAGGCGGTTGTGAAATGGCTTCAGTTGCACATACAGGTCCTCTTGTTTTTTTTGTTGGATATATAGATTTTCCGTCCATCTGTCTACGACGTTCTCTTGGATATCATGCATATAATTTACTCTACTACTTACTACAAACAAACATTTGACGATATCAATGAACAAATCAGCAATAGAACTTACCAATCTCAATCTCAATCTCAATCTAAAAAAAAAAAAAATCTTCAACATATACACATTCCACCAAATCTAGTATGCCAAGAACACAAGAGAGAGAGGCAACAATAACAATCATCTCTATCAATGCAAGATATTAATTACTCATGACCATGTTTCTTTTTTTAAAATTGGAAATTTGCTTTCTTGTGGCGTACAAGTAAATTACTATACAGCGCAGTATTTCGCCTCCTCCCTTTCTCGCCCGGCCCAAGAAATATTTCTATACCAGTGGTTTCTCACCCGACCTCATGTAATGCCTTTTTATTTAATTTAATTGCGTCATTTATTGCTCCGCTTGCCATTCGGGGTTCTATACATACATGAAATGTTAGTCAACATGTTCTCACGTGGGGGTCAAATCAAAGGGAGATATTGAATTATTGCTCACCTTTCGCAGAATCACTATGCCTTCCAGGAGGGTGCTGTTAAGGCTAATGTACTCCTCGTCCTCCAGCTCCGCTCGGTCGCCGTAGCTAAGCACCACCGGTGTGCTCTGTGTCTGCCAACCGGTAATGGTCTTGGGCCGACCAGCCTGGCCGACAACGTCGACTGCCTGACCTACACGGACGTTGACCTTCAGGAGGTTCAAGTCTTCGTCTACCGTGACGAGGAATCTGGGGTGCATGGCAGGAACAAGGAAGTAGAGGAGGTAGTGCGAGTTGGAGGCGATAAAGTCCTTGGGGTCGAGCATGGCAATGATGGTGGTCAGCAGGCCGGCGGTTGAGACGGGGGAGAGCACCTGTCTGTCGGAGTGGAACGGGTTCAAGGAGAGCGTTCCCTTGCCCATGTGCAGGAGACCCTGTGCGATGCGGACCATGAACAGGGCGTCTTGGTCTCGGTGGTAGTAGCTTGCAAGCTGTCGGAGTAGTTGAGCCAATCGAGCGTTGTTGGTGCCCGCACCCAGCATACCCATGGCGAAGATGGCGTTGATGGCCACCTCCGGATCATTGTCGTGGCTGTATCTTGACAGCGTGTCGTAGACCTTCATCTGCGGGTTGCTCGGGCTGATCAAGCCCATAGCCAAAGGCACAGCTTTACGAATGTTGGCTTCGCCGTAGTGCATGAGATGACCAAACTGTCTCAGGACCATCTCCTGGCCAATGTCCTCTCCCATTGACACGAGCGCAATGCCCAGGACCGCGTACGCTTGCAGAAGCTCGTCGCCCTTCTTATCGTCCGACTCTTCTTGGTGCTCATTGCAAATGTGCAAAAGCTCCTGGATCTTCAGGACAGCACCGGTACCGGCCCAGGCACAAATCTCGGCCAGAACAGCTGTAGGCTTGGACATGGGGTGGTCCACAGCCTTGAGCGTCTCCAAGATAACATCCACCTCTTCCTGACGACCAAAGAAGAGCAGTCCCAGGCCAAGACCCAGGAATCTCGTCCACTTGTCAGTCAATTGGTTCTTACGCTCCTCATCCATCAGTGTCGTCACGATAGCCTCGCTCACTTCGGGGTGAGATGTGCCAATTGCAATGAGGCCACAAGCCAACGCTGCCATAGCCGAGATTTGCATATCCTCCTTTGAGTCAACAATCATGGGCATGATCAGGTCAATGACGTCCTCCTTGTTGGATCCAGCATAGGCCAATCCGAGACCCATCAGGCAACCAGTGCGGACAAGGGGATTTTCATGGTGCAGCTTGTCAGCGTCTCCCAAAAGCGCAATGGTTGGCTCAGATTCCAGTCGAACACCCGAGTTCATGATACCAATGGCAAGCATAGAACCGGCCGTAATCTCCGGCTCAGTGGCGTAAGTGTACCTGTCGACGCTGTCGAGGCCGTTCTCAATATCCCACATCAACAGGGTGCCGAGGGAGGCAACAGTTGACATCATGCCCTCACCCTTGGTCTTCCACACCCAAGCCTCCTTCTGGGAGTCGACGAGCATCATCTTGTCGTTGCCGAATCCAGCATTGACAAACGCATTGACGAAGGCGGCGGCAAGGTTATGCCTGGCAGAGTCCAAATTGGTCATTCCAGCCACTCGACTGCTCTCCAGATGGCTCTTGTAGATATCTTCGGTGGACTTGGGGTCGAGGATGTTGAGTTCCTTGCCCAGACCCTTGAAATATCCTGACAGCTTGATGTTGTGTAGGCACTCGAACAGTTCCTGATCATCGCCCTCACCATCTTCAACCATGGGCATGACAACCTTCTGGCGTGAAATCAAAAAGGCCAGCTGCCTCTTGAGTATGGGATCTTCCGCCTTGTCGAAGTCTTCCTGGAGCAGGTCAATGTCGTGCAATCGAATGGCAAGAATAACCGCCTGGGTAAACTGCTTGTGGGTGATGTAGATGTCGTGGGCAACACGGAGGAAGGTCTCGTTGTCGGGATATGTCAACAAGTTCACCATGGTGACCATGTACAGGCACACTCTGGGGTAGGAGTTCTCGTCGACAAATTTGCTAATCTCCTCAATGATTTCCAGCTCGCTCATCAGATCCACGGCATCAGCCTCCTGGTTGCTCTTGATGAAGAGCGGCACCAGAATCAGCGCCAGGTCGACAAGGTCCTTGGTGGGCTCATCGGCCGTGATGCGCTTGCTGTACACCTCGCCGATCTCGAGAGCCAAGTGCCGGACGTATTCGTGGCCCCATGATCCAATGTCGGTCGTGGGGGCCAAGAGTCGATACTTGAGTGTGTCTTGTCTATCTTCATCGGAGAAGGTCATGCCGATAACTGACAGAACATCGGCTAGTGATACCTTGTTCTCATCGCTGGGCCACTCTTCGTACAGCTTGGTCAGGGTCTCGTAGTGTGGTCGGAGAAACTTGAGCGGCTTCGGTACTGCTGTCATGGACGATGTGGAGGTCTTGATTGCGCTCTTCATCATTTCAAGAGCGGATTTGTAGAGGGAACTATCGGATTCCTGGAGAAAAGAGGTAAGCTTCCAAAACTCGGACAAACAAACGCATAGCTGCCCCTCCCTCGTCTTCCCCTCCTCTCGTTGCATTTTATCGGGCAATACTCACTGTTAAACGCTCCACCATCATGTCTAGCTCGCTCTTGAGCTGCTGGTCCTCTTCATTGAGCTCCTCTTCGGCAGCTGGTACCCCTCAAGTCAGCCATTGCAGAGAAAACCACGGGATATCGGGCGTCTCGTCTCCAAGGGAGTGGGGTATTTACCATCCTTCTTGTCGTCCTCCTTCTTGCCGTCCGCGACAGCCTTGTCGTCTTTGACATCATCCACGGCCTTGCCCTTCCCCTTATCAGCAGCCGCCGCCGGCTTTGGCACATCGCTGTCCTGGGCCATGGTGACGTAGAGAGATTAGGCGTCTATGATGAACCCCCCCAGCAAAGACGTCGGGGGCGAGGATGGATGAATGCGAAGGAAGTCGTTAAAGGATAATTAGCAGGTTAGAATTAGGATTGCCCAGTATCGCAGCCTCCGGGGAGGTTGAGCAGGTCGAAGTTGCGGGCGGAATCAGGTGGAAGTGCTGATGGAGACTTTGCTTGGTAAAGCTCTGGGCTGGGTTGAAGCGCTACTCTCAACAGCTGCCAAGGTACCAGGTATTACGCGAGGCGCTGCCGCCTACAGAACCAGCTACGTACTCTGAACCCCAGCCTTATGATCACGTGCCACGGCCCCCGGGATTCGCTCTAGGATGAATTAGGGCTAGCCGCAGTCATGCCCATCTCTAGCCCTGGTATCGATAAGATCTGGGTCAATTTTCTTTCATCACAGCTTGTTTGCTGCTTGGTAGACCCCACCAACTTTCCAACGGAACCCCCCATCTGTCGAAGAATCAAGTTGAAGACAAGATACTCGCATATGAGATCTTGAGGTTTAGCGTTTAGCTTTAACTACTTCATCAAATCAGTTCATCTATATAGCCAGCCATGAAGTTGGACACCAGAGCAATGCGCCATCTGGCGGCCGAGGACTGGCGAGTCCTCACAGCAGTACGCCCAACACACCCGGATATATTATACAAATAAAAGGGTCGCTAATCATATATCCCTTCGCTATTACAGGTCGAAATGGGTAGCAAAAACCACGAGATTGTTCCCACCCCTCTAATAGAAAAGCTCGCTCGCCTTCGAGGCGGCGTAAGCGGCGTCCACAGGTGCATATCAGCTCTCGCCAAGGTCGGCCTCATCGCCCGCGTCAAGGAAGCCAAATACGACGGATATCGCCTGACATACGGAGGCCTCGATTACCTAGCGCTACACACCCACGCCAGCCGCAAGGATGTCTACAGCGTCGGCAACCGAATCGGCGTGGGAAAAGAGAGCGACATCATGGTTGTCGCCGATCACTCCGGCAAGCAGTGTGTGCTCAAGATCCATCGCCTTGGGCGAATATCTTTCCGAACAGTCAAATCGAACCGAGACTACCTAAAGAACCGCAATGCCCAGTCGTGGATGTATCTCTCAAGGCTCGCAGCCATGAAGGAATACGCCTTCATGAATGCGCTTCACGAGGAAGGCTTTCCTGTGCCGGTACCGCTGGCACAATCCAGACATACCATCGTCATGTCTCTGGTGGACGCATTCCCTCTCAGACAAATCAGCGAGGTCCCCGACCCGGCCTCGCTCTACGCAGATCTCATCTCCCTCATCCTACGCCTAGCAAGCCACGGTCTGATCCACGGCGATTATAACGAGTTTAACATCCTGGTCAAGGAGATGAAATCAACGGCCGAGGATGGTACAGAGTCTATTGTACTCGAGCCTGTTATCATCGATTTTCCACAGATGGTTTCTATGGAGCATGTCAATGCCGAGATGTACTTTGATCGAGATGTAAACTGCATCAAGCGTTTCTTTTTGCGACGATTTCATTTCACACCCACCCAGCCAGGACCTTTTTTCAAGGACGCAAAGAAGACTGTTGGAAAGGGTGGTCTGAAGCGGCTGGATGCTACCGTTGAAGCGTCAGGCTTCACCAAGAAGATGTTGAAAGATCTTGAGGCAGCCATCAAAGACAAAAAGACGGTCGAGGAGGGCCAGGAGGGGGCAAACGAGGACGACGATGACGACGATGATGAGGATGAGGATGAGGATAGTGAAGAAGAGGAAGAGGAAGAGGAAGATGGCGATGATGAGGATGAAGGGGGGGGAAGACAAGAAGCTCTTTTGAGTGGTGGACTCTCTGAAGGTCTCTTGAGTGACGAGTCAGCCATAGACAAGGCCAACAGCGAAATGGCAAAACTGGCAGTGTAGTGGCCAGATGACTGATACAAAGAATCAAGAACTGACGTGACAAAACAAAATATAATTCCATTAGCAGTCGTTGTTCAAAAACGGTCACGACGGGAGAAGCAGGCACAGCAAAAGAACTTTCTCAGTATGTGATGGAATGATATCTCATCATTGGGTGTAAAAACGATGCTAACGCCGCCAACTTTTGCCACAGCCTGCCATTATCTAGACTCTAAAGTACAACACACATAAAATAATCCCTTCACACAGTTTGATCCCACTTATTGGCTATCTCCAGACCTAGAACATGTTTCAACCGTGGCGTAAAAGCTACCGTGACTGTTGGGGTAAGTGGTCCCAAAAAAGTCCAAAACAAGTAGTGGTAGAGATGTTGAACCAGCCGGCATCATATTATGGCACAAACGTGCAGACAAAAAGACACAAAAAAGCAAAAGAATGAAGACTGCATGGGTGTTCACTGCGAGTCCTTCTTCGAGGCCTCTTTCTTGACCGAGGGAGACAGCTGGATGTTCTCCTTGCCGGCGGCGGCGACAACGGCGGGGTCCGCTCGAATCGTGACACTCTCATCGCACTCAGACGTGGTGGGAGTCGAAATCGTAGCGTCCGCGCTCGTGGTCGCCCTACCGAAAGAGTTAGAACTTGGCAAAAATGCTGCGGCTATATCCATACGCAGACTGTGCACGGGGCACTGAGCTTCGCGTGTCGTCAAGCGACGAGGACGATAGGCCGCTGCGAGATGTTAGTGGCAAGCCAGTGTCTGCCCCGAGAGCATCAGAAGCAAACCTTCGGGACTGGGGTAGATTGCGTCGCCAGTGGGCTTGCTGGTTGTACAGAGCAGGGTTCAGGCCAACAAGCGGGGTGCCGTAGGCGCCAATATTGTACTCGTTGGTGCGGAACTGACGACGTTCAGCGGTAACTCGCTTGAGCTCTTTCTGAGCTGGAGTATCGGCATAGCGAATGTTCATCGGAAGACCTTCTTCGCCAATGCCGATGCCGTTGAACTTTCGAACGATCTCGTCGCAGATGTCGCGAGAGTCAAATCTAGATTGTGTCAGGAGGCAAAGGAAATTTTGACGCCCAACAGGGGCTTCAAGAAACCTACCGAGCAAAGCCGACTCCACGGCTATTTCCCATGCTGTCACGAAGGATCTTGCTGGACTGGATGTGGTATCCAAGGAAGATGGTGGCGAGTTCCTAGGTCAGGGTCAGCCACGCAAGCTGCGAGAGAAAAATCGTGCAAGTCAACGCACCATCTCGTTCAGGCTCTTGGGCAGGTTGGAGATGTAGAGGTTAGTCGAACCATCATCACCCTCAGCTTTGAGTCGAGAATTGAACGACTCCTAGAAGTTGTTAGCTTGGAAGAGTTGGGGGAGGGGAAAAGAGGTTGAATCGTACCCGGGCAAAGCCGATTTCGTAGCCGAGGCGGTGGAAAGCCCGAATGCACAGTTCAGAGTCACGAACATCGTAGAACTTGGCGAAACCAAATCTATGGCCAGTCAACATCAAGTAGAGGATGAGGTGCGTTAGGAAGAGCAGAACTTACCCCTTACAAGCTCCAGTGTTAGTGTCGATGATGGCCTTGGACGTCTCAACAGCACCAAAGCGAGAAGTAAAATGGTAGAGCAGCTCGTCATCGGTAGTGGGATGAAGACCACGGATGTACACGTTGCGGTTGCCGGGAATGCGATTCTCCAAACTCTGTTCAAGAGTCTTCATCTGGCCCGGAGGAGTGAAGACAGCTGGGACCGCCTTGGGAATGGCTGGATCCTTCTTGAGAAGCTCATCGATGGTGCGATCTGAAATGACCATGGGAATCGGCTTCGAGGTCTCAATGGGTGCAAGACCCGTAGCATTAGGAGAAGGGGTCGTGTATGAAGACCGATCAAGGCTGGCAACACGAGGGGGGTAATCGCGGACAATGGAGAAGGCGCCGCCGTAGTAGGGGGTGGCAGGGGCAGACTCCGTCGTAGAGTAAGAACCGCGACGATTCTCAAGCCCTGGGACGTCCGAATGGCCACGATCAGCACGAGGCTGAGCCGTACCTGGGCGACCAGGAGTAAAGGGCATAAGAGGCATCGAGAGGCCAACATAGGAGGCACCATAGCCGCCTGCGGCACCCGGATAATTAAGATAAGGGTTCTCATTAGAGTGGCCAAGGCCCATCGGCTGGGCAGTTGGCACAGGCGTGAGGACGAACTGGCTGTCCGAGTTGACCATGAACGCATGGCCTGGTCCCATTGGAACAGGAGCGGCATTGCTAGGCATGCTCAAGCTGCCGAGGGTCAATCCATTGAAGTGATTAATAAGGCTGCCGTGATCAGCAGCCGCATGGGCGGCTCGACCGGTGTAATAAGGATTAGCAACGCCGCCGTTGGCTTCCATTTTGGATTCGGCAACAGTGTGAAGATGGTAAGACATGTGTTTGCCTGTCGTGATCGGATCGCGGTCAGTAATCTGCGGTGACGTAGAACGTTTTGATGGCAAAGATGGCAGGTGGCAAAGATGGCAGATGGCATGATAAAAAGATATCCAAGACTTGGAATGACTGCCTCGACTTGGGCGATGACAAGTGGCCCATGATTCAGGGCAGTCATTCCCGAGTCAAGAGGAGCAGGAGGTGACGTGGAAGGTTGGCCAGGTGGCAGTGATCCAAGAGATGAAGTTGAAAAGAAAGCAACGTACCCAAAGAACAGCAGATCGGTCACAATGGTGATCGAAGAAATGACAAATGATTCGACAGTACGACGAAAATCTAGGATAAATCGATGGGTTAGAAATGTAATCAACGTGAGGCAAAGCGGTGCTGAAGTGATCCCCATGTGCAAAATCGATTGGAGATGATGAAATACGAAGACCAGGCTGGCTGGCGAAGAGTTGGAAAGCGAGAGAAGAAAATATGCAGAGGAACAATGGAGGATGGCATCTTCGCAAATGAGTAAAGAAAGGGGGGATCCATCTACCAGTCTGCAGATGGACGGCTCGAGAGATGAAGATTCTGCCAAGCAAATGGAGACAAAATGCGAGAAGAAGCAGAAGGCTAGGTGACAGAATGAGACTATCAAAAGACGTGCTCACCTTACCCAGTCT